TCATGACAATTTTATACAGAATGACTTGTAAACAAGTAAAGGTTAGGGTTAAGGGCACTGGCAATTGTTTTGGGGCTAAATGGGAACCACTGCCTCCCCTAAAATTCCTTTACAATGTGGCAATGGAAAGTTGTGTCTATATTATCCATCACTCTTGGTGAAATTCAATATTTTAGCGAATCAGCCAGAAGCCAGTAGACGCACCACCGATAGAACTCCACTGATGCATGGATTCAACAGGAGGCAAAGTGTCCTATTTTAATGGGAGCAAAGATTATCTCTCATTGGACAACAGGCTTTTAATACTTCATTTTGGGTCCTGCCAGTCAGTAGACCGCAGATTTGTAGAGTGCTCGGAATTGAGAAGCCCAATCTGTAACATTTTTACACAACTATTATAGCTGGTTATTTTAGCTTTGTAATTTGTAAATATAGTAAATTAATTGTAAGTATAATGTTATGTTTATACCATGTTATGTTAGCGGTCGCTTCGGAAATTTGATACAAAGCATTGCCTTTCCGAGGAAAATTGCCTATCAAGTTAAAGTGAGTAAATCTGTACCAGATGAAACATATGGTCCACAATAGAGATTTCACTTTCTGGGGTCTACACTATGTCTTCTTTTCGAGGTGATGGCATGCAGAAGTTTCCAGATGAAGTTTCTATCTGTATTCGTGCACAGGGGCATAATTAATTACCTGGAATATGGGGTTACACTAGACAAAATAATTATGATGCTCTATCCTTTAATACAGTGCCAGCAACAAAGCTTGAACTTTTCTGTAAAGGTAATAAGCACACAGTGCAAACCAGTGTTACAGTAGTGGATGTTCCACAACATTTAATGATGTAACAATAATGATTAATGTAAATGTAACAATAAAAAGTTATGTATTGTTCATTAAATGAATTGTTAATCATTGACAAAATACTGTGGTATAAGAGGAATAAAACACTTTAAATCATAATTATCAATAAATATTGATATGAAAGGATTAAAAAAAGAAGATATTGTATATACAAAAAGATTTCTTGACCATATTGCCCAGCCCTGAAAACAGACAAGGTCAGGAGCCAAGGTCAAAAAGTTCTGAAACTCATCTTTATGGCTGTGTGTTATACTATCAGAGATATATGCTCACATAATACAATAGGAAATGTTTTTTGCAGTAGAACATACTGTAGATTATTCTCAAGGATGGCTGGTATGAATGAGCTAGCAGAGCTAAGCCCCACTGTCTTTCAAAGATAAAAAGATTTAATTTGTGCCGAAATTACTCAGCCTGCTTTGCCGACACATCCATAACACGCCATTACAGATTCGAAACAATTATGAATACAATTGCCTAGCTTTCATTGTAGAGCTACTGATTAGATTTTAGTTGCCTATCTAATTTCACAACTACTGGCTATAGGTGTAGTAAATCGACTTCTTATACATTGGGAGCTCTTAAAATGTTATATTTACAAGCTGAACTGTGCCCGTTTCATGTTGTTGTAACAAGGGAACATTTTAATTGATCCAAGTGAGGCAGAATCCAATCCAAACATAAAGCTGTTCTGTTGCAGGTCTTGCCCGAAGGCCCACCCATGGCTCCCCAGCAGTCTCAGGATTTCAATTTGCAACTTTTTGTTCAGCAGGGGAAAAAAAAAAACCCTTAAGTGCTGAGCAATCACAGCCTCAAGCTGCTCAGTTTAAAAAAGAACTTGGAACCTTTCAAGTATTCATGTAACTCTTGAATTTGTTCACTTACCATAATCTCATATAAGCAAAATACATGATAATGCAATGCGACATTCGGATTCAGCTCAAACACTTGTTCCTTTGATCACATTCCCACAATGCATAATATTACATACCCCAAACAGAACTCCAACAATCCTGCTGGATTCATGTTAATTCAGTGAGCTGCACCAAGGACCTGGGCAGTATCCTTTCTAAAGGGCAAGGTTTTGGAGTCCGCTGGCTGTTTCAGCCCCCCGAGTCTACTGTCAAAGCAAAGCCCTGAGGGTGGAAATGTTTTTATGCAACCCATTTATCCATAGCCAAACAGTACTACAAAACTTGGCATGAGAAAATGCAATGGGTCATTGGTTATTATGAGCAATATGTATGGGTCATTGTTAGGGGTGGAAGGATAAAATAACACTATAATACAAGAATCTGAAATGTATGGTTTAACTTGCTAAAGTGCATTCTGCTACAGGTTTTAAAAGGCTAAAACTACCAGATTATTATACATTTAATTGGATTTCTTTAATGTAATGTTGATTGTTTTTTCATTGTTGACCTTTTATTTACAGTTGATCGTTTTAATTTTAAGTTGACTTCATTTTTTAAGTTGACTTTGTAAAAAGTTGACTTTTATAAAGTGACTTAAATTTGACATCTTTATGTTGACTTCATTTTTTAAGTTGACCATTTTTTAAGTTGACCATTTTTTAAGTTGACTTTTTAGAGTTAGTCACTGAAAACAGTACACCTCAAATGTGCTACAATTTTAAAACCCCAAAATAATAATCCCAGTTTATCATTAATTTAAGTAGAAATTTCTTCTTTTTTTAAAAGAAAAAAAAAAGTTGACTTCTTTTTGTAAAGTTGACAATTGCAGCTGACTAAGTTGACTGTTTTTGTTAATTTATTTAAAGTTTTTTGTTCCTTACCCACTGCATCTTACAGCATATTATTCAGTATCTAATATAACTTCTATAACTACAGCAAAGGAATGTAGTTAAAAAGATGGTGCTTGGAAATCTGGACCAATCAACAGGTCATGGGAGTTAAGTAGTTTATTTAAAAAAAAAAAAAAAAAAAGCACACACCTACCATAACAGTTTGTCTACATTGTATTGCTAAACTATTGAAAACTTAGAAAGACCCTCTTAACAAGTCTGTTTTATATTCTAGCCGTTTCCTCAACTCCCAGCTGATTATACAGTCATTAAACTTAAAGAATATGTTTTAGTAATTACCTAAAATATTCAGTAACTACAGTGATTCCAAGAGAATATTCTAGCCTTACCAATGGATTATAGGAGTTATATAATGTTATATAATAATGTCTCCTTTGAAAATTGGAGGACATCATGGACACCATGAAATAATAAAAATCACAGTATTATGTTTGAAATACAGGAGGTACAGGAGTGCTAGTTGTAGATCAGATCCCGTTTATCTTCAAAATCTGATCTATGGGAGTCCATGTTCTTTAAAAGCCATGTCTACTTGTCTTAACCCCTTAAAATCCCACGTGGTATGGTGGGTCAAGATTAGCATCCTCTTGCTGGTACACAAAATGAGATTGTTGCCTAAGACTGGTTAACATGTTATGAATGGTTAAATGGAGGTTTTCTTAGATTAACTGTTAAAAATGATTTTTAAAAATAAGGAAGTTTAGTTAAAGAGTGTGGTGCCACTTAGCCCTTGCAATCATGGAATTACCCATAAAAATAAAAAAAAAACTTTCTACATTATTCAGTTGTCATATTTGAGAAATGAATCACAAATTAATCACTCACTAATTCTCAACAGCTACAAAAACACTGCAATCCAACACTGAATCCAACACAAACGATACCAGGTACGGTAAAATTTGTCAGCATAACCTCATAGCCATGGAAGAAAAAATGTCAAGTAAACAACTCTGGTAGGAATTCAGCTCAAGGTATTATTAATGAGAAGCCAAGATTTCTGTGAGGCAATGTTAGGATGATCAGGCTGAACGTGATGCAGCACCTGTCAAGCTGATTTCAGCTCAGAGTACCTGAATTACAAAAAGTACCTTCAGTGAACAGGCCTGGTCACTCTCAGAGCTCTTGGAGTGTGTCTCCTAAAGCAGTACAGGGCAAATGGGTAAGCGGAGGCGTTTTGATTAAAACTACTCTCACAGTGCCCCCTGCTGGGTCTCTTTCACTGAGTTGACTCAAAGAAGGTGATATGCTTAAAGATCTATACTCTAGTTAATAGAATTTATATCTTATACACAGCTTTTGCCTCAGGAATTAAATTATAGGCCTTGTGCTAAAAGCCATCCATGCCTCACTTTAAATGAAGTGTCCTTAAGTCCCATATAATAATAATCTACAAAGTAATTCTTACATTTGTGCAAATTGTTAGAAGTTAACTTCCTGCATTTGATGGTGTATGTAATTTTGTCATTACTGATAATACGTTTAATTACATTACCAGTTTAAAAAAGTTTAGACATTAATTTGAAGATATATTTTCCATTGTCTTCAACATTCTGAGTGTTATGTTTGCAATTTACTTGTAAGACAAATGTAAATAGTGAAGTTTATGCATATGTATAAATGTAAATGTACTTTTGAATAAAATTGTATTTAACAAATAGTTTTAACTTGAAACATTTTGTTTTTATTTCATTTTTTTCCCCCCCAAACAAGTACTCTTCGTTTAGAACTCTAAGAAAACCCTCCAGGGTGAAGTGTCCTCATGAAGTTGGTTGAGAATACAACTAACTAATAATACTAATCTTCAGTAACTGCGTTATCCTGGTCAGGGCTGCAGTGGATTCAGTGTCTATTCCAGGAACACTGGGTGCGAGGTGGGGATGCACAGGGCAGCATGAACACACACATTCTCACCAGGGGCAATCTAGAGTCTCCAGTCCATCTACTACCATTTTTTTGGGAGGTGTGAGGAAACCAGAGAATCTGGAGGAATCCCACATGGGCACAAGGAAAACCTATGAAACTCCATAGACCACCACGATGAAAACAGCCTGATGCAATAGGTCAAGTGGTAGTTCATTAAGTGGTACATGACTGTGGGTCACAGCTACCAACATCATCTTCTTTCTTTAGATGGATCATCATGCTCTCGTTAGAGGTTGCCACAGCGGATCATTGGTCTGCATATTTGATTTGGCACAGTTTTACACCAGATGCCCTTCCTGACGCAACCCTCCCCAGTTTTATCCAGGCTTAGGACCAGCGCTGAGGGTGCACCGTCTTGTCCAACCCCAGAGGCTGGGGTTGATTCCCTGGCTTGGAATCGCACCTGGGCCATGGCAATGAGAGCGCTGAGGCCTAACCACTATTCCTCCAGGGACCCACAGCTACCAACATATATGAATAGTAAAACAATAGTAAGCTCATGGTTCTCAGTGATTTACACAAAGATCGAATCAAAATCAATGTTCAATACAAAGCATTAATAAAGAGTCTACTGTCAGAATGTTCAAGAGAGCAAAACTGGCCATGGGTGGGAATCGCCTCTGAATCACAGAAACACTAGCCAAATCATAGTCATCTGTTAGCTTATATATAGCGCCAGTCATGTTCACCTGTCACATGGACATGGCTGGCTTTACATATCTCATGCCCAGATTAAGAATTAAGAGATTTGCCTTGACAAAATTGGGAGAAACTGGTTTTTAAAAATAGGTGGCAAGGGGTTTTACAGCCAACTCTCAACTAGCATTTGGGGGTATGGGTTCATCTGAGACTAACGATAGATAGATAGATAGATAGATAGATAGATAGACAGACGGATAATCACTTTATTCATAATAGTGTCCTAGCACAGTGATAAGCTGTTGTATAGTGTGATCACTGTTGGTCCAAATGACCTCCTGTACCGCTCCTTTCTACAGCAGAGCTGAACGAGTCTTCTACTAAAGGAGCTCTGTTGTTTAACCAGTAGGTCATGGAGAGGATGCTGTTTGTTGTCCAGAATGGCTGTAAGTTTACAGAGCGTCCTACTTTCCACCAGAACCTCAAAGCTCTCCAGAGAGCAGCCCAAGACCGAGCCGACCTTCTTGATCAGTTTGAGGTTTTTTTTTTCTCCAGCTCTGATGCCGCGACACCAAGCATACTGCTGCAAAGAAGACTGCACCGGCTACCACAGACTGGTAGAAGATCTCTAACATCTTGCTGCAAATTAAAGGACCTAAGCGTCATCAGAAAGTAGATTCTGCTCATCCCTTTCCTGTACACAGCCTCTGAGTTGACCTTCCAGTCCAGCTTGTTGTTGAGATGGTGTCAACCTGACCCATGATGGTAATGGGGCTGATAGTGGTCCTTTTCCACCTGTAGTCTGCCACCATCTCCTTGGTCTTGACTAGTGTAACTTAGGACTTATTAAAAACAAAATTAATAAAAAAAAAACAGGACCACCACACTGAGCTACACTCTGAAAGAACTTGAAAATTTTCAGCCCAAATGGAGATCACATCTAAGGGGCGTTTCACTCTAATAATGTCAATCACCTGATAACCATCACTGATAGGCTGCATCTACAGTCTGGGCTAGAAAGAGATCAGCCCCAGGGTCACTTTCATACCATTCTGTGTACTTAGTTCTTTTTATAACCAAAATAATCCTCCTAAAGACATTTGTTAACAGCAAATAATCTTATTTTGATGTCAAAAAATGTAACCTTATAATAATGTCTTTATCTTTCAGAAAAGACAGAAACTTAGCCACACTAGCACCCTTATACCAGCCATCTCTACATTTACATGTGTTACATGTAAACAGAGATGCCAACGTATTTCAAATTTAGGGTACATGGAAGAAATTTACATCTGAATGAACTCATTCTGATTGCAAACACACCCAGATACGAGTCAGGATCCTCTCTTTTCCAGCAACTCTTGTCTGCGACATGGAATCTATGTACACAGTCCCAAACAGCATGTTCTTTAAAGGTTTATCAATAGCCGAGATCGACTTGTTAGAACGGATTCTAATAAGAGCTCTTATCACAGTGTGAAGTCTACACCACCATTTGGGACACATGCTGTGCTGCTATTCTTTTAAAGTTCTTTATTTACTTGTGCTGCTTGGTTGCCTCTAAGAATTATAAATCACCCTCAGTCCCGTATCACAGCAACAGCCTGATGCAGAGAACTTGGGGTGTTAAATTATGCATCATTTCCTGCATTTAAACTCATAATCAGAGGCCAGCTTGGCCAGGCCATATTTCAGCTATCTAGCTGCAGTATGTACACAAGGTTCAGGTTTGCTTTATGATCATTTCTTATTCTTTAATCAGATGATTATGACAAAGCCATTTATGAACATTAATCACAAACTTTTTTTTTTTTTTTTTTTTTTTTTTTTTGCCTTTTGAGCATCTCAACAACCAGCATGCTCAGAACACCCAAAGAATGGACCCAACAGAGTTTAGCTAGGCAAGAGTGAAGTTACAGTTGTGCTTAAAGGGGATTAAACCTGGTTCTCAGAATTGCAAATGAGAGTGCATTTGCACCGAGCAGCATTAACAGATAATGCAGCAGGAACACCAGAGAACCAGGATAAAGCGAATGAGAATGTAGTCGACGGCGAGGATCGAACACGGATCCTCCCGGTCAGAGGCGTACGCTCTACCGCCTGAGCTACGCGGGAGGAGCGACAATCCGCGCACTGAATTCTATAAAAATCAACAATAAGAGACTAATAATACTAGGCCAGAGGAAAATATAAGAGAGAGAGAGAAAGAGAGAGTGTGAGACGGCCAGCTACTCAGTCCACCAACCCATCTCGACTCAGAAAAGAATTTGTTTTTAACTACAGAGAAGGTTTTTTTTTTTCCTTCCCTCCTCTTCCATAAAGCACTTGGAAATATACCATTTACCGGCCTCGTCTACACAAGAGACTCAGCGTCTGAGTGTTTCACCCGCGCGCTTAAATAGAGTAGTCCCAGGTGCTACCAGTTGCAGTAATGACCGCACTGCAACATGGGAGATGTAGTTCTCATGAGGCCACCCTATTACCAGAAGAAGGTCTATGCCTCCCTCTTCCCTGCACGCGCGGTTGTTACACGGCTGGATGTTACACTTTCAGATTAACAAAGAACAAGCATAGTCAAAAATGATAAATATTACATAAAAAGCTATTACTGAAATACACAAATAGGTTCTAGTGAGAGTGGCTAAGTTACAACACCTGTATGACAAAACATCACCTTTGGAATTGGAATTGAGGACAAACATCATGTTTCTTGGAATATTGTGCTCGAGGTGGGAACACTGTTTTGGATGGGACACATGATGTACACACACTCCGGCTGCGTCCGAATATCCCTACTACCCTACTATACAGTAGGCGAAAAGCAGTATGCCAAAAGAGTAGTACCTCTGAGTTTTCAGTATTCATAAAACAGTAGGCGAGAAATACCCGGATGATGTACTGCTTCCGCCGAGATTCTGCAGTATGGAAGCAGTGGACACTGCGCTATCCCATAAGGCAACGGGACTGGTGCGGAAGAGCTGTCAGAATCAAAAATGGCGGAAGGCAGCACGTCAGCTCTTTTTAAATGTAAGTGCTATAGGTATTAAATATTGTTCCTTGTCATTAAACCGTACTTGCCACTGTGCTGTACTTCCAAACATTGTCAAAAAACCGCAGACAAAAACCGTAAGTATCATATAAATCATTTTACCGTGACGGTGATGCAGGTGCGCTAATCAGACGAGCTCTTTAAGTTTTTGCAGTTATTATGATGTCATAGGTCACATGACAGTGCCAACATGACGGATGTAGTATGTCTGGATTGTCTTCATACTACACACATATACTGATCAGTACTGTACTGTATCAACGCCCGAGCAGTAGGTACTGAATCGAATGCAGTATCTGCTGTCACAGTACGCGATTTCGGACGCAGCCTCGGACATGACATGCCTAATATCCTCCAAACTTTGGCAGCAAGTTTAGCTTCTTTTTAAGGATTACAAAGTGTAATTCAAACTTTGGACACAGATGTATATAAAAGTTGAGGTGAAATTGATTTCTACAGGGCCTTTAAGTAGGCATTAAAGTAAGGTTATGTACCGAATCCAATTGCAGAAGATTATAGACCTAAAGAGAAAGAGAGGAGGGTGAGAACATCGCTCCTGGGTATTTGCCTGACATGCTTCGCTGGCGTGCAATCAATGCTCTATTGAATATTGCAGATCCAGTCCCTTGTTACAAAGTCACAGTAATGTGAACGGCTGTGCCTCAAGTAAATAAGGGGGCTAAACCACTGGCTTTTTTATATTCTTTGGCAACTGTCTGACAATTGCAATAGCTATATTATGTAAGTAATTGACGTAGCTATACATGGGATGTGGCCACGTGGATGACACAGGATAGCAGTTGCCACTAAAGTAAGCCTTATCACCCCAACGGCCATCCCAACTCTGATCTCCAATCACATTTATGAGATCGACTCCTTAAGGGGGCTGAACCCTTGGCTTTTTCATAATCTTTGGCAACTGGCTGGAAATTGGAATAGCTATTGTATATTGCGTATGTAACTGAAATACATGAGGCGTGGTCATGGGGATGACACGGGGTAGCGGCTGCCACTCTTAAAATAAGCCTTACCACCCCAATGGCCACCACAATTCTGACCTCAAATCACATTTATGATTGATTACTCTTAGAAACAGAGGTTAAATCTAGAATCCTAAAGGCTGATTTGGTTTGTCCCTCTGGGAAACCCTTAAAGCTGCCATATAGAACCCTACAGCAGAGGGTTTTCCAAAAAAGTGTATGTCATTTATACAGACTTAATGAATCACATGTAGGTCATGTTGATTTAAATGATCATTGTAGCATTGTAGATGTTCTGACCTCAGAGGCCAATACGGTGATGTCACTATGTGACCATTCATTCATTCATCTTCAGTAACCATTTTATCCTGGTCAGGGTCACAGTGGATCCTGGGAACACTGGGCTTTGAGACGGGGACCCACCCTGAACAGGACACCAGTACGTTGGAGGGCACCATGTACTCACACACACTCATTCATACCTAGGAGTAACTGAGCATAGCCAGTACACCTATTGGAATGTTTTATGGCAGGAAACCCACACAGACATGGGAGGAACATGGAAATCTGTGGAAAACGTCATATAGACAGTAATCTGAGCTCAGGATTGAACCAGTGGCCTTGGAGCTGTGAGGCAGCAATTCACCAATGCACAAATCAAATATTCTGCAAATCCATCCTTCTTCTATACATGAGAAGTTCCCAAACATTTTGGGCAAATGACCCAAAATGAATATTATGAATTTTCTGCAACCCCAAGCCCTAACCACTCTACATTTCTGTCCCACATTTATACTTTAGGACTTATAAATTCATAGTCAGCATATATCCATGTTCATTTTCTTGCCTTGTGATTTTCCAGTCAGAGTCACTCAATGTTGTCAAGGATTGACAACTAGCAGAGGTAGATGAAGGGAGAAATTTGGAAACTCAATCCAGCATATCCGGGTAGTGAAAAAGACTAAAATCACATGTGCATGCTTCATTTAAATGAAGCTTGTTTGAATGTGACTCCCAGTAACATTTCAAAGTAGTAGCATGCAAAATCCATTTTCATATTTGTAATATGTAATTTGTAAAATAAATGAATAAAATAAAAGAGGAGATTCCGCTTATCTCACCACCCCAATTGTAAATCAAACAACTCCATGTGGGGTCACGGGCCCTAGTTTGGGAACCCCTGTTATACATATTTAGGTGGTGCAAGCCCATTTGTGTGCTTTTGTTTACATACAGTATACATCACTGAGTTGTACTGGTGTAAGTACAATTTCTGCCTTTATGGTTTCTACACAATTACTACACAATTAACCAAATAAAAAGCACCAGAAAGACTTTATTAGTCTGGTTAGTCTACAGTCCTCATATTTTGTGGTGGTCTCTGGACCCATTTCCTGTCTGAGAGATGCTACAATCTTCAAATGGTCCATTACATTTGGCTGATAAAGCGAGTCAATAGCATTCATCTTACAAAGGCTAGATGAATGACACTGATGGATTTTTCAAGTCCTTGTATCAGTCCTACTGGCGTATATGTATGTGTGTTTGTGTGTGTATGCATGTGTGAATGTGTGTATGATGTACTGTATGTGTGTGTTCTCTAGGCAGCTCCGTGCTCTCTGGAGGTCATCACAGGACATGGTTTGTGGTTTAGACGTCAAAGTTCTCATGGGATTTCCATCTATCTTCTTTGTAATGTATTGTCCAAGTCTGAATGAGTAGCTAATAAAAGACAGAAAGAAAGAAGGGCGGATGAAAAACAAATATTATACAATCCATCCAGGCACAGATGAGTGCTTTTCTGATATTAGTACCATGATATTTCTGGTATTTGTAAAGTGATCTGGCCTTTAAGCCAAGTGCATTTGGCCATTCAAAACATGTGACATCGTTACTTGGCCAGAAATTGAAGACCTCCTTAACGCTCAATATAAATGACAAGCCTTGTGTGTTGTTACACTTAAAAAAAAGTAGCCAATGCACCAACATCAATTACGAAATCAATGAAGCACGATCAATTCGCATTACCTCCTCCCTGCAGCACGAGCTCACAAGCTCTTGTGCATGAAAAAAAGGCTCCCAGGCTAATTGCTAATGACACTTCAGTTAAACTATCTGTCATAGAGGCGAAAAAAAGAAAGAAACACTAGCACAAACAGAATATGACCCACCTGACACATCAACAAGCAGACCATGGCATGGGTCCATCATCATTACAGCTAATAGTCATGTTTAAGGCTAAGGAGGATGGGTAATTACAAAATTGTTGTGTTATATAGTACAACCTAGAAGCATCCAAAATCTGAAATTCCTCAGAAATAATATACACTGCACTTAGCTGATGCTATTCTACATTTTCTATATTTCTATACTGAAGCAAAAAAAAAAAAAAAATGTTAGCTATTTGTGAAATCTTGTTATGAAATAAAAAAATGTATTTACTGTTTGCAAAACCTTTGCACTGATCTTACATTGCTTTATCTCTTCAGTGAAAAACAAAGAGCAGTGTATTGCTTTTTAAGATTTGAATTCTGACTTTGTGTTAGAGGTTAACGTGATTCCGTGACGCATTGCATTTCATTCTCATCAGTGCATTGCAGTTTTGCCACACTGAAATGCAATCACTGTCAAATCACAGACCTACTCAAGGGTGGCGCTGTAACTGGAGAAGCCTACAAATGCGAGAGGAGGCATTGTTGTCTATATCAAAGAACGGCCATTATTGGCTCGTTGTTTTTATTTCTGCTGTGCTGATTGTTGAACCCTTAATAATCAAGTTTTTCAGAATGATTACTAAAACATGATAAAAATGTTCATATATTTTAAACTACTTACAGCTCATAGCAGGGCCTGTGAGTTTTGTTATCAATGTATGTTGTGTTGATACACACACACACACGTACATACATACATACATACATATACAGTATATATATATATATATATATATATATATATATATATATGGATCTGGAGCCTATGGGAACACATGATGCAGGAATAAACCTGGATGGGACTCCAGGCTATTGCAGAGCACATAATACACACACATTCACAGACTCATTTACACCTAGGGACAATTACGA